GATTTGAGCGGTGGTCACTTGCTGGGACTACAAGCAGAGCCTTTCTGGCAATTCGCAGGAAGGTTGAGGAATCTGGGGAGCAGGGAGAAGGAGTGGGAGCTTAGTTTGAGAGGTCCAAAGGGGGAATGCCCTGGGGCAGGGGTGTAGTGCCCCCAGTAGGCACATGGAACCCACAGATGAAATCCCCTCCTTTCTTGCGTGACACCAGCTCGTTTAGCAGTGTACACCAGGCTACATATTTGGCCATGGCCTGTTCTATTACGGGCAAAAATGGGGCATGTCCTGGATGAGTGGCACTTTAAGAGACTCAGATGAGCCGAACAACTTGATGCCTCTACAGGCTCCCATAAAAATGAGTATTGTTCACACCCCCACCATTTTTGTGATGTCAGGACTGTTAGGAATTGTGGTTCATGGCAACTCCAGTAGAGTTGTGAATTATGTGGCAACTGAGTCTTGAGATGGTAAGTGCAAAAGATGTTGGTAACTTCACATGCTAGAATTGACTAGTGTATGGTAAGTCAAATATAGAGTTAATGATAGGACTTTGTTTTAAAAGGTAATAGACCATTAAAATGAACAATATTGTGAAAGTGTTCAGATGCAGTTAAATAATTAATTGATAGAATATGCCGCTGTATCCTAGAGTTTCAAGAGCAAACTTTTCAAAAATTAGTTTCCAGCTATGATTTGTTTAATCTTATTGTAATTCTAAGTATTCCCTATCTAATCTTCTCTTTGATTGACAGTCCAATCATTTTCTCAGAGTCTGAAGCTGAGAAACAAGGGACCATCTGCTACACTACTTCAAAAGATTTTAATGTATTTAGCTGTAGAAGCATGTTGAAGTGGTTTGGAATTCCATTATGAATGCCACGCTGAGTTCCAAACACTACTAATGGACTCAGTTCAATAGGGCATTTTTGATACAGCAGTCAAGGGAACTGCAATTTTGTTTTGATTGACAGTTTTATGAACAGTTAATAGGATGAAAGTTCTTTTCAACGATTATTTATAAAACTGTCAAAATAAGCAATTAAATTATTGACCTTTTATCAAGTCATGTTTGAATGGCTGTTCGTTTGACAGCTCTGAAGGCTATTAATGCATTTTGTAAAGAGACTATTGATTAACTGTTTATTCAACTTGACATTTTCAATGATAACATTGGAAAGACTTTGAGATGCTCATGAATCATGAGATCTCTCCATAGTGGATGCTGTGCAAGTGAGAATGGTGAAGTGGAGGGAGTATGGAGCAAGTTGAGAGGAAAGAGAGATGAGGGCTAGTATTCCTAACTTTTAAATTATTAAACTGGGCTGATGTGCCAGTGAACGTGACTTTTAACCTACCTCCCTCAGCATCTCATGCCTCCGTTACCATCTTTTGCCTGTTTCAAGGGGCAATAACTTTGACACTTTTTGTTGTGAGGTTTGAAGATAGGTTAGTGTGGCCATTTACAGAGCAGGAGACACAATCACAATGTTGGAAATGGTCAGTCTCATGGCTCCCACCTCAAAAATGAAAACCTGAAACAAAGTGTTTTTTGTGACAAAAAAAACCTCAAATTTCTTGGATGATATTGAATTTATCCTGAATAACTATCGATTGCGAAACTAACAAAATCGGGTAGAACATTTACTTTGCATGTAATCAGAAAAGTGTGTGGAGGATGCACATGATTTTGTGTTGGTTTGGGCAGCTCTGTTTTCACCAAAGTTAATTTGTATAATAGCAAAATGTAAAAAGCTACTATACTCTAGCACAATCAGCCTATGTAGAATAGAATGCAATTGTTCCTTAATCATTTCTTTCCATCAAAATGATGTTGAGAGTTGTAAGTGTCATATTTTGGTACAATTTAAATTACTTTTGTTGAAATTCAGCTATGCTAAATATTTTATTCAGCATCTAGTTCCGTGCGAGCAACACAGTTTTTGATCACTGAAAGTGACTTAAAAACAATTTTGAACAATTTAATTGTTTCATTGGTGTAAAATAACTGTTTTCTTCATTAAATATTTTAAAATATATCTACAAAGTATCTGTCACTTATGAAAATGAACACAGTCTGAAGAGCCTTCTGGAACCAGCAATGTTCTATAAGCACTGCCTGTGCCCTTCAAGAACCGGAGATGTTTTGTCTTTTCCCAATCGAGTCCTCACGTTATCATCAAACTGGGTGAAGCTTTATGCAGGCTTCAGCATTATCCCTTTCCAAACCATTACTTTATACCAGTCGTTCCCAACTTTTTCATTATCAGGGAGCACTTCAATGAGACAAATACTCCCACAACAGACCCACTTATTGGTCATAAACACCATGAGTATTGACATTTACTAAGTCATAGTAAGAATGGAGACACTGGGTGATCAGTGAGGCTTCCCCACAGCTGCCTCACTCCTCACTTACCATTCATCCAGCCACTGCTCACAATGTGCACCAATCTTGCAGATGCCCAATTATGGAGAAGAAGCCCAATCATCGGTGGCAGCAGCTACTCCCGCTATGCCAGGCTTGGATGAAGTGGTAAACCTAACCTCTCTCCGTCTAGACTCAGCGCAAGGCTCTGGCTCTGTGTGCTGCAGCTCCTGAAATCACCCATGCTCTTGGCTTTGCTCTGGCGCAGCTTTGACAACCTGCTGTAGCGTGTGATCTGACTTAGCCTCTGCCCTTTTGCTGGGCTCAGCCAAGGTGATGGACTCAGCCACTGATTGACAACATTGTGCACCCATAAGATGCTTCCAACTGGCCCCTGCTCCTCTGCCTACTGATTCAGGAAGCAGTGCTGATTGAAAACCACTGGCTTCTATAACAAGCACAGTCTATAAAATAGTGCAATTTTGATCAGTGTGGCTAATTTTGAGAGAGGGATCAAATTGGAAAAACTTCAAACTTAAACCAGTGTTAAAATTTGAGAAAAATACACTTCTGAAGGGCAGCTCCAGATGGGCAATAAATTTTGGCCCACCCAGCAATGCTCACATTCCATGAGTGACTAAGAAAAATACAACAAAAGCAATTTGGTTTGGGATCAGTTAGATTTAAAATTGTTTAATCTTTTGCACTGGTTTGATAATTGTACTGGAAAGTGTGCACAAACCCAGTAAAAAAGGAAGCAAAATATTCTGCTACATAAATTGCACAAATTGGGAGGCTTCAAATGCAATGTCGAGCTTTGAGAATATAATTATATTCAAAATCTGTTAAAGTCACCTTTTTGAATCAATTATATTTGCATTATCTAGCATTTTAAGTCACTTAAATAGCTTGGCACAGGTGGTGATTCCGCATGATTTAAACTTTAATTAATAGGTAATTTAAAGTTGTTTACCTTGAATTAAGATTATTGAACTACGAGTCCACTCTTACTTATGTTACGCAAAAAAGTTGATCATATTTCAAATCATACTCCATTTTTAATAAGTTTTCAGATGAATTAATTATTTATAATTTCAGTTCTAACAATAGAAAATGTAAACTATTGTAGAAAAGTAGAGAGATAGCAATACTTAATTTCATACAATTTCAAAATGACAGGAAGAAATTTTCTGAATGACCAGGGTAGTTTGTTAAATTATAAATTATACTGGATATGCTGATTCAGGAAATCCAACAGCTACTCTAAACTCAGACACTGAACCAAAAAAATGCAGACAATAAGTACAATAACCAAAATCTGGTCTTTTAGATAAGTGCTAAGAAGTATATTAAAAGGTGGAGAGAGGAAGTGGGTGAGAAACTTCAGGGTTCTAAAAAAAATACCAGAGCTTAAAAGGCCTAGACAGATGGAACAATGGCTGTCAATAATGGGCTAAAGAATTGGCAGATGTGCATAAAGCCAGTGTGTTCTGGGATGGTGAGATTGTAGAGCTTAGGAGGAATTTGAAATTGAAGCATTTTTGGATTGAATTATTGATAAACAAAAATCAGGGGTGATAGGTGAAAGGGCTTTGATGTAAGTTAGGAAATGGACAGTAGTATTTTATAGAGTTGAAGTTTACAAAATGTTGACAATGGAATTTTGAATTTTCAAAGTGAGAATTTGAACAGAAATGCATGAATGAGATTATAGATTTTAAAATGAAGTTATTTATATATTCTGTTACAGTTAACATTTTAAGACTGAGAGCATGGAGGTCATTGATTAAATTTAGTTCGGCACAGAATACAAACTTCAGAGATCTAAATAAGCTTATGTTAAAATGGGTTAATGTGTGACTTCAGTCAAGAGCTTTGGAATAATAAAGCCTGGAGTTCAAAAGCATGAATGAGGATTTCAATGACAGATCAAAAGGCAGTGTTATGTAAGAATCAACACCAGGTTGTTTTCATGGAGAGGAAATGGAAATCAGAGGTTCAGCCTGAGTCAAATAGGACTCCAACAATGGAAAAAATCAAAAGAGTAGACAGCAAAGAAAAAGGTTGGTGTCAAGTGAAAGAGTTTGTGATGGGAAGAGAAAATTATGGCCTTCAGTAGTTTCAATATTCAGCTGTAGAAAGTTTATCATCTAGAGATTAATTTTTAATTGGGGCTCAGTCATTCAGTTGGCTGGTTGTCTGGTTTGTGATGCAGAATGATGCCAACAACATCACTTTCCACACCAGCAGATTCAATCTTCACACCAGCTGTGAGTAACATGAAGGTCCCTCGTCTCAAACTCTCCCTTCACCTGGAGTTGTGGTAACGCTCTGGTTAAATGAGGGTGCAGCCTATGTTCCTCTGGGACTATGGTGACTTTACTAATTTTTAATCAATTAATAATTCTACACATCCACTCAAATATCAGACAGCAATAAAATATAAATGGATTCTATACTTACCTGCTACTGTTAATTGTTATGTGTGAAACAAGTCTTCTGCAATCAATGAATCATTTGGACCCTCATCAACATAGACCAGGGTCCTTTTTTATTTCCATTTTGAATAATGACATCAAATATGGAGACATCTTTAAATGGAAATTGAGTTTTTCACAATATATTTCTCCTTTTCCAGATTCTGCAGATGAAAGTAAACCTTCTGAAAGTGCCCAAAACGAAGAAGTTAAAGATGATGAAAAGAAGGCCACCGAGGAAAATGCCTGAAGATGCAAGGCCCCCAGCCCCAGCTACTCTCTCCCCTTTGATGTGTGGACCATTCCCCATATGGCTAAAGGCGGGAAAGTTTTCCAGTCAAACAGTGTGGCTTAATTTAAATGTTCTTGGTGTTGTTCTGGCAGTTTGATGACCATCATTTGGAATTCTTGCACTGTACAAATTTTCTCTGGCTCTCTGTTTCACTGTATGCAATGTTATTTTAAGAAGTAAAAATGTAAGTGAAAATGGTATCCTTTAAATGTGATGGGAATGAATATACATTTGTTTTGAGAATAAAGCAAAGTGCCAATTATTGGTGGGTAAGGCCTCATTGAGACCCTAACTTTGGGGTCATTTATCTTAAATACAATCTCCATCTAATTGATTCAAATAACAAATATTTAATTGCAATCAAAACTAATTAAACCTCATTTCAGTTTATCCAATGAATCATGTATATTTGATGATTATGTCACTGCCTCATGACATTATACAGAATTGTGCTGATGACATATGTTTGTTGCATGACCTTTGGCAGAATGACATTATGCATTGATCATTTAATTGCTATCAAACAATAGTCTGCGACTAGAAGGTTTTGTGATTAACTGACTTGAATATTCCTCTTTCTGTCGTATCTTCTGTGCTGTTCTACATTCTGCTGCGATCTTTTTGTCAGTTCAGAACATGTCCGCAGATATCCTTCACTATTTAGCTGTGAATTGCAAAAAAAAATCTAATGTTAATGGCAAAGGCTAACATTCCCACTCCATTTGTATTTAATGAAAGGAAATAATACACAAAAATTAAAAGGTTGTGTGAAAATTGTGGGAGCAGATAGAAATAATCAGAAAAAGAAAAATGACAGCTAATAGGTCAGGGCAGAATTCAATACATTGGATGAGTTGACTGTTTTGCATTGGGGTTGATGTATTTTCAGATTTTTACATGTGTTATACCTCATTTTGCATAAACTTTTTGCTTCTGTGCATCAAATACCAAATAATTTCAGAGTAGCACATTTTATTTATTGACAAGGATTCACAACTTAAAAAGGACTAAATTTTATGTGACACTTGAATTCAAGTATCATCAAGGACATAAATGCATGGGAGGATTGTTCTCTGCCATTAAATTTCATATGAATCTGAAAGAGGTTTCTAATTCTGGAATTCCAACTCTCAATTTAGTACACATTCAGGAGGAGAAAATGAGCATTTTACTTACAACAGTGCTAACTTGTATGAAAACTATCAAGTAATATATTGCGAGGAAACTGATTCACTTGCTGCCTTAACTTCAGGTCCTGATGCCATTCCAAAGACGCATGCATCATTCCATGCAGCATGCATGAAGGAACTAGCAGTACTAGTCTGAACAATGGGCAGCTAGAGAAAGGGAGGGAGCTGCTCTTCCTTTTACAAACATTATATTCATTTAATGAGTGAGGTGCATTCACCTTTAACAAACTGCCATAGGTCACTGCAAGGCCTGAAATCTAAAATTATGTCAGAACTGAAGAGAAAGCTAGTCACAAATCATTCCATTTTGTTTGACCTGTTAAACCACCTGTACTTACAGAAGTGTAAGATTGGAACTGCCTGACAGGGCTGTTGATGACGGATAAACTGGTGGATATAGCCACCATAAAATTCATTGTAACATTTTACAATAATAGTCACTAAATTATAAAAATGGTGTTGTACAGACTTCATTCATAACTCATAGCAAAATTTTACGCACAAATTTTATCTACACTGCTATCTGCAAACCTTGACAATTTTGTTCAGTAACTGAGAATTGCTGACAACAACTTAAATAGAATCATACATTTCTGCTAGGTAGAATGTCGCATATCGATGTCGATTCTCTTTAATAAAGGGTTATGTTAGCAGTTTATAACAATTTGGAAAAGTGTACTATAGCGGTTACATATCACATGGCAGATCATCATTATTTGCATATTTTATGGCATTAGCATTAATTAAAAGTAATTCCTTTTACTTTATGCTAATTATTTGGAATTGGTCCAAAAGTCATATGTCCTGTAAAAATAGATAAACAAATGAAATTTAAGCTATTAATGCTAAACAATTCAGAATTCCTAAGGATTTGAACTATTAAATTATGAGAAAGCATTTTAACAAATACATATTAATTACATTCAAGGATGAAAACGTTTTCCCATTTGAAAGTTAACTTCAAAGACAATTTTCTACTAAATAGTTTAGTTTAGTTTAGCTACAGTACCTTTGTATAGATCTTACTATACAATCGTGAATGCAACTGTGATATTAATCTGGCTGCAGTTTCACGTAAGCATTAAGTGCAATTTTTTTTTAAAATGGTGCAGGAGGATGATGCCATTTAGCAAATGTGTGTTGCTTCTGGAGTAATGCTTGCTCTTAGTTACAGCTTGTGTATGAAAAAATAATTAGAGATTCCTTTGTTATTTAAATAATGTGAATCTTTGTATAATGTGCTTTTCCATTTCACTGAAATAGGCTTGACCACTTATGTGCAATTCTCTGACAGCTGTTGGCACAACCTGAGAGTTCAGTGGCAAAGTGGGATGGGAAAAGCTACCATGTCACTTTCACAATTTACACTCATTACAGATGATAAAATGAAAGCTTGACTTATCCACATTTTAAAAGACATAAACTAAACAGCGTTTATTAAGAAAGAAAGTAATTTTGTTAATTGACAACCCATAGTGTATAAATCTGGATTTTGATGATCATTCATCTTAAACATAACTATTACAGATTCAGTGGTTTTCTGATTACATTTTGATATCCTGGAAATTTAAATGTTCTGTACTACAATAGACAGCAACTAGCAGGGCATTTTAAATCCTGCCTTATTCATTGACTTCAATGCAAAAATTCAATTATCTGGATTGAATATTTTCCTGGAAGTACTCAAGATGAAAATAACAATAATTCCAGCTTGTTTAATTATGGTATTAAAATGTTAATGAATTGGAAATGGAAAATCGAAGTACAACTTATTTAAAGGAACTTGATTAACAACATGATGGTTACTGCCATGGATCTGCAACAAAAAAACTTGTTGTCTAAAATCTAATTTTTCATAATATTTGAAAATACACTCCAAAATATTTCAAATTGGATGTTAGGGAAATGAAACAAAATACATTTTTTTTTGCATTGAACTTGTTGCACAATTAGGTGCCTCAGTCCAATTGTAATATATGTGCCATTTGCTCTATGCATTCAGTTACAAGCCTATAATCCAAGCAGTTCTATAAGTTACCAGCCCCTCAGTACACAGTGGTCTTTGCCACTCTGCCCTTGCAGTGACTGGCCCACACTGTTGTGCATTCCTCAGAACATCGTCCTTGACCTTGGAATGTGCCAGTTTACAACAATCGGTCAACAATCTTCAGGCAAACCAGAGAGCATCCTTCATTCAGTTGTTGGCCTTCGAGTTGCAGTTGATGTTTGTCTTGGTATGTGCCCTGGTAACAACTCGTAGGACAGAGTCCTGTGTCATGGGGCTGCTTAGGATGAATTTTGGTAGACAGAATTGCAACTCTATCCAGACCTCCTATGCAAAGATACATTTCCAGAATGCATATCTTCTTTCAAAATGTTCCTTTGCAAAGAAGGTCCAGATGCAGCTTGGCTGGTGGGGAGAGAGCTCTCCCAACCATATTGATCATATATGAAGTCTCTGTACCACTGCAGAAAAGAAACTTAGTAAAGACATTCCCATTTCTTCTTACATTTTCTGTTGGTATTTTACTTTAAGTAGAATTCTAAATCTATTTACTTGGAAGGTGACAAACTGATCCAACTGTCCTATCATGAATCAAGTTCTAAAGCAAAATGTTTGATGGTGAGATTATTTCATCTAATTGTTCCTTCTCTGGTGAGTGCCCTGATAATAGTGCAGTTCTTACAAAGCTGTGTCAAATACCTTAATGTCTAAGTTTCCAACTTTCAGCTAAATCATTTAATTTGTTTGTTTCAGATTTACATAGGACCCTGTTTGATTACTTTCAGTTAAGTATGACTCAGGCAGAAAAGAAACCTCACTGAGCAGCATGAATTCATTTAGCAGTGAGCAGATGTTAAGTTATTGCATTAAGCACAAAAAGGTCAGTCTATGTTCGGCTTTGTAAACAATGGGATGGAGATAACATTAGCAGAGCACTTCACAAAGTAGTACTAAATTGGAAACAAATTGCAAACAATGCCGTAATAAAACTAGACATTTAATTGGAACATTAAAAATCTCTTCATCCAGTTTCTCCATAGACACAATTTGACTAAATAAATTATTAAATTTTGTGACTTTTGATATTGTTAAAATCACACTCTGGAATCATTATCAATGATGCACATTGGCAACTAATAGCTGTTATCTGACATAGTAGTTGTACATCTTCTTAGTTGCGTGTTTTTAAAACGTACTGACAAAAACTCATGTTTTTTTTGCTACTGGTCCATTCTTTAATTTATGCAAATTTGAACATAGGTAAATTTTAATTAGTGTTTACTACATTGATGGTAATTATGTGCCATGAATACAACCAAAGCTATTGCCATATTGTCCAGTTGCAAAGCTAGTATCCTTTTCTGGAACAACTAGCCTGTCACTTCGATCATATTGTCAAACTTTTTGAAACAATTCCACTTTTCTGTTACACCAATTCCTAAACATAATTGTTTTATGCAGCAATTGTACCACTTGAAATATGCATTAAAAATAGGGAGCCCCATGGAAAAGAAAAGCCTATTTAGACCAACAAATGGTTATTGTCTACTTAACTTCCTATAAAAGATACAGAAGCTAACATGAAAAGGTCTTGAAGGCACAAAACAGTCTACTTTTCTTATCTTGGTAACATAGGTAAGTATTAAACACATTGTTAATCTTAGCACAGATAGATTTTTTGATATAATGGCAAGTTTATTGTACCTCAGCACGTAGGCAGATCGCACTAAATCATTATTTCTGTTTTGTACATACCACCAAAAGCTTTCACTGTAAGCCATCAGTTTTACTTCAGTATATGTCAGACGTTTAGCAGGATGGTATTTGTTTTATTGTGTCCTTGGGCAAAATAATGTCATCTACTTGGATATTTTCAATGTTCACTATTACTCAGGCTTATAGCTGCCTCAGAGAAGATAGTTGTTCATAATACCAGAACTGAATAGCCTTTTGCTTCATTGTCCTGCAAGGTTACTTGTGGAAGTCTGTTGTCACTAATTGGAGTTAATCGGGATTGAATGAACAAGAAATTCAGCATGTTTTAATAATGATTCTTGGCCCCAAAGTAAAAGCAGTTAACATATACACAAGTAGAATGTGATTTCATACGTCGCACCAAGCAACAATGTTGTTATTTAAAAAGGATGTTTTTAACCTACCATTTTTAAGATAA